GCAGCAGGAAACAGAACATTCAAGTCCAAACTAATTCATAATAAACTTTCAACCATGAACAATCTGATTAAGAGAAATGTCCTAGAAATATCCAACAGCTTGTATGTGCTCTGTTATCTCCATAAAGAAATCTTGGATCATCTGTTAACATGCAAAAAAATACAAGAATTTAAGAAAAACATATGGAATCAGGCTCAAGAAAAACTTACAAAAGTATGGATCCCGCAACACACAGACAAAAAGATGAATAGAAAGCATACATCAATAAAAGTACTCTTTAGCAAATAGGAAATTGAAAAATCTGACTCAGCTAAAGAAATAATTAACACATCAATTGGTCTTTGGGTAAAAGAAGATATTAAAAAATGGATCAATACTCTTCGGTTGCTAAAGATTCCCAAGGTTATATCCAAGAGAATTTTTAACAAACTTTCCAACTTCTGGTGTAAAAAAATAAGACAGCTGATCTGAAATCCAAGATGTGAAAAGATTCAAGAGCACAAAAAGAACTTTCTGGGTAAAGACAAAGGAAAGGAGACAGTTATATCTGGATATAAATCCATTAGTATACAAAACTCTTATGAGAAGAAAAAGACACCTCAACAGGACTTCTCAGGTTCAAGAACAGTGGCAATCCTATCAACAGTAACAGCCAGTCAAAGCCACACACCAGGACTTGTGAAAGTATTATGGGACAAAATAAAGGAAGGAAGAAGGTGATTAGGAATATGAAGTAATTAAGATTTTGCCAAAATGAACTGTAATAATGAACTGCAGGTGATGAACTTGAGTTTCCTAAGAAACAGGAAACAAGAGGGAGCATCTTCAAGATTATATCTAGAGATTAACAACTTAAGACAGGTATTCAAGTATATGTAATTAGTTTATATATAAAATCAATTCATATACAATTATGTTTTCTTCTAAAAAATTAAATAAACATAATAAATACTTGTTTGATTATGGAAAAAAAAAATTAAAGCAGTAAATAAAGAAAAAGAGTTCACATATATGATATAGTTAAGTATATTAATAATTGTCGGGGATAATGCTGAAATCGGATGATGCTGAAATTCACGTAATATATATGTTACATAATAAGCAGCGGATTTCTGAATCGTGTCCCCTATAACTAATCAAATATCCGAATGTGAGATTAAGATACCAGAATTTACACTTAGACAGCAGAACGGTGGTCATTGAAGTGAGAATTCATTAAGGAGTGTGTAACAACTCACCTGCCAAATGAACTAGCCCTAAAATTAGTTTGACATTGTGAAAAGACAGAGGATGTAAAATAAGTGGCGAGGAGTAACCTATCGGTGAAATACTATTACCTTTATCATTTTTTTACTTCGACACATCTATATGGTTTAATACATGGAAGAGAATTATCTGTCAGAGAATAGGAGGAACGGTTAAAAAATATTGAAGAGGAACTAAAGGTAGGAAAATTCTCTTAATTATAAACAAACTTTGTTTTTAATTTTCACGATTCATATGTTATTGTGATATGAAAGGTGTTACAACCTCCACAAGAGATAGTTGATATGGGAGCCGGAAGAGAAGCATTTACTGAGTTAGAGGATCGGAGTGATATACAGGATATGGATATCGACATGTTAGGCGAAGAAGTAGAAGAAACTCTTCAAACTTCGTTACATATGGAACTGACTAGACTTCAGATCACTCGACATTATTATACTGATGCTGTTCGTTTTATTCACCAAATATACACTGCTATCCCGATGCTCTGTCAGCTTCTTGTTTTTATGATCAAATCAGAGGTTTTGGAGGCTATTGATTTTTTTGTCACGGCCTACACATATAAGATGGAATTTGCCAGAGAAGGGCTAAAGAAAATATTACACTTGATTTGGACTAAAGATAATAATAATAAGAGAAAGGGAATTCAGAAACGATTGATCGAAAGCTATCGTAAACTGTATTTCGATTTGATATTTCAATATCCGATAAAGAGAATGTATACATCATAACGAGGAATTTAATAAGGTATTGTCTAAGCAAGTAATAGGCATGCTTTTTGGAATAAAACTAAAGCGTTGCATCAACATTTTAGCTTGACATTCAATGCGACCCTAGCCGAGTTAACGTCTTTAGAACAGCTTCTGAGTATGATCATAAATGAGAGAGATATCAGCGATGAATTTATCGTGAAGTTGTGATCAGTTTATTGTAAATATACGAGAATAATATGCAAGTCATAACAGTATATTAATCATATTATTCTTGTTTTAATATCTCATATTAGCCGTATCCAAAAAGGAGATTCTAAAAACACAACGCCATGGTGCTATTATTGTTTTAAGTATGCTTGCGAAAGCAAAAATGGAGATTGTCCAGGAAAAGATTGATCTATTGCTAAAAATTGGACTAGGGTCTTTTGAAAAAGTAAGCATCAAAACTGGCTATATTTATCGTCACCATTAGCTATTAATTTATTAATTTTTTTTTTAGGCCGATTTTTCTCTTGCTAAATACACTTGCATTGTGTTGCAATGTCTTGATGGAAGTAAGACTAAAGTAAAAGGTAAGTAACTTGATAAAGACATTTTTCCGAAAATTTCTTATTGTATGAATTTGGAATTAATTCAAAGTTCATAAGGTTCGTTAAACAATGATTCGATTCAGTTGCCCATGTCCCATCAAATCTTTCATCGATTGAAACAGATGATTGAAATTCAAACAACTTTGCAAGAATGGTAACTGTTCTTTTCCTCGAGATCTCTAATTTTTGATTATTTGAATTTGTTCATTAACTCCTTATGCTTTTATTACTTACATTTCTGCGTTAAGGTCATTTATTGGCCAATCCGTATTGAAGATATTGTCGGGTGGGGAGTTTGGCTTAAATCCATAGAACCATAACTACAAAACTAAATGTTACTTAATTGACGTATAATCTGTAATGCTATTATTATTTCGCAGAATATCAATGATTTTATTATAATAAAAAAAATCTGTAATGCTATTATCATTTCATAGAACATCAACGATTTTACTATAATAAAAAAAAAGATTTGAAAAAACTCTTTTCATTCCCATCATAACCCTAACCTAATCTATTCTAACTGTGATCCTAAACTAACACATTTCTGTAACCGATCTTTCAATTCACATTTTTTTAAAAAAAAAAAAATTTCTAAAAATCGATTACAATTTTTTCTTTATAGCCCGGACCCATTTGACAGGAATTTGAACATCTTTGCCATTTACTTCAACAATTGCAGTGTGATTATTGGACTTGAGGGACTTAAAAACACCTTGTTCTGAAAAGGTCGGCTGCAACTTTTTCTTGTGAGTTTGTTGATTCATATCATAATTGGGCACAATAGCAACTTTAGTTCCAGTTTCAATTGTATTATTTGCCGTTTTTTTTCTATGCACATTATTATGGCCTAACTTTTCATGATACTTTTCAAGTAAAGCATTTATGGATTGGTGAATTTTGAGCATATGTGAAATGCATTGTTTTATAGCAGTTTCATCTGTTATAGTTTTGAAGGTGGTGGTTTCAAAAACAGTGGTCTTAGAGATGGTGGTAATGGTCTCAGAGGTGGAAGTTTCAGAAGCGGTGATAGTTCTGGAGAAATCTGTTATAAGCAAAAAAAATCGTATGTTTAGTAACTATTATAATATAAAAAATAAAATCAATTCCAAATTCTAAGTTTTATATTAAAAATGATATAGACCGGGTGTATCATATACACAATGCATTTTCCATCCGAAAATTGCTTTGTGCAGGGTGCAGCCATGTGCTTTGTGGATAGTTGAATTATATGACATAACAAACATGTCAATTACATTAATCCAGTCTTTTCTCTGTAACTGGTTACTTTGATCCCACAACAACTTAGTAAAATCACGGCCCATTGTCTGGTTAAGTCGCTCAATTTGACCTTGTAACTGTGGATGGCGAGGCCTACCATGCCTGATTGTAATATTAAGAGCTCCACAAATTTCAGTAATAATTTTTGCAACAAACTCTTTACCATTGTCACTTTGGATAATTATGGGGGGTCCAAGAACTTTGAAAACATCTTTTAGAAGATGTGTCGCGACTGTGCTTGCTTCCTTATTCTTCATAGGAACTGCAATCAGAAATTTAGAAAACACACAAATACATGTAAGTAGCCATGCAAAATCATTATTGACTTTAGCAAAATCTCGGAAATCGATTAGATCAATTTGAATATGCTGCCATGGTGCTGTTGATATCACATTCTTCATGTTGGTTTTTTCTTTGATAGAAGTAGTTATAGTACAAGTAGTGCATTAATTTACATATGTTCTTACTTCCTCTTGTGTAATTCCAATATGTTTTTCTGAAATTGCAGAGAAAGTCTTGTGATACTCCCGATGATTTGCTTGATCATGAAAATGTTTCAAAATTAAAGCACATATCTCTTTATCATATTTAGGGATTACACGACATTTTTTCAATATTATACCATTTTTCATAATCGGTTTGTCATAAAGAAAATTATTTTTATCAACTTCAAATTTTTTGCAACGACGAATAAAATTGGATTTTTTTGTGGGGTCTTGTTGAATATCATTTGGTATAGTTTTTGACTGAAGATATTCAATGATTATTTGATATTCTTTCAAAGTTTTTGGAATTTTTGGAATCACTGGCATATTTTTTTTTTGTTTTTATATAAAATTCGGAAATTTTAAAAAATCTACTACTTATCATATGATATATATCACGTGAATTTCAGCATCATCCAATTTCAGCATCATCCCCAACATTTATTAATAATTTGACATATTGTTTTAATTAGTAGAAACAGTTAAACTCTTATATTAAATTATATTGTAATATTTTAAATAAATATTTTGAAGATCTATGGATCCATAATACAGTAATTAGTACTTCACAGATCAGATTACAAAATACCAGTTCAATTCCATATGAAGGTGATTAAACAAAATTAATATGATATCTGATACCATAATCAGTTAGTGTACTATTTCTTATAAGATGTCATTTTACATGTTGATTCAGTGAGTATTAAGTTTGTAATCTTTCTGTTAAGATATAGTAGTGTAATAATCATCCAGTTAGTATTACAATAATTGTCTAATAAAAGATGTTATCTTTATATTTGGATATATAGACTGGACTGTATTCCATCTTAATCAACCCTTATTAGCTTTCAAAAATAACCACTTATTTGAATATACAAATTGGGCTGTATTATATCTTAACAAACCTGCACAATACTTTTCTTTCCTATTGGCTAATGAATAAGAAAGCCTTGAAAAAGAGTATTAAATTAATACTACTATCTTGTATGACATGATTATCCCAACAGCTTACTATATATATAGAAGTTGCATTTTGTTTAACATTTATACTCCTAGATTTGGCAGCCTATACCAACTAACGATAGCCTTAATTAAAAACTTTTTAATTAAGACACGTAATCGATATTGCAGAAAGAGTAAAGAATAATTAGTTTACTTAATTCAGTACTTGTCACAAGCAAATAATGATAGGGAATCACAAAAGAATATAATAAAGGTTTTATTAAGAAAAGTGACAATAGAAAGAAAAGAAGAAATTAGCAAGACTCAGTTGAACAAAAATCATATATCTTAAGTAAAAAAGACTTAAATCTTATTTAACATTATATAAGAAGAGCTCCAGAGAAGTAACAGACTCGTCAAATAAGACATCAACATAATGAATACATTTTTCAAGCTCCATAAGAACCTTGGATCCATCATAAGTAAACATCTTAAGTCAATGCAAATAAATAAATTAGTAAACTCTATCTTCTTGGATGTATAATCATTTTTTACCAATTATATACATCCATGATAATGCTTCAAGTATATGAAAAATTTTTGATTTTTCTAAAGAATTTTGCCTATCTCAGTTTAATCTTGAATATTTTTTTTGTTACACCAGAAATTCTAGTTAGTGATTGGCTAAAATTTTGAACTGATTGATTAATACATAAAAAAAATATAAACAAGATATATATTTCTCATATATTTCATATTGTATTATATTAAAACTGATGATACAACTGGATATAGTAAAAGAGTAAGATGTCAAGATATTCTCTTATTAAAAGTAGTTTGAAATATTTTCTCTTTTTTTTTTGTATCAGTTTCTTTCTTTTCAAAATTAAAAAAGGTTTTTATTAAATTGGTAATTAATTTAAATAGGTTTTTATTTATTAGCACAAACTTTTTCTTTATCTTTATTTTTTTTCTTTATTTCTTAAAAAAATAATTTTTTTTTTTACCTTTTAGGACCACAAGATTGTATTGAAATAACAGTTTAAATATAGGCTGGTAATGATTTTTTAAAGTTAAGATTTTGATATCTAACTTTAAGAAGGAGCAACTTTATTATTTTTTACAATTATATCTAGAAAGTTAGAATTTGGAAAGTCTAAAATAATTAATATTATAAATAATAGCTTAATGAATATACTCCCTTGTAATGAAATAATTAATGAATAAATAGATTATATGACCATATGATAATCTTGATATTAAGGATTTAAGGATCATATACAAATTTAAAAATAATTTTTTAACAAGTATTTTGCTATAGAGAATACTTTATCTTTAATATAGTATTATATTATATATTGTATTATTGTTTTTAAACAGATTAAATAAACATGTTATAGCAGTTTGATTAAAGAAAAAAAAATAAAAAAGTTATTTAAATATATTAAAATAATATAATTAAATTATAATTAAAAAAAAACAAAATTTTTAATTTTTAATTGTTTTGATAATTACAAAAAAAAACATTTTAATTATTAAAATATTATTGTTTTTTTAAGAAGATTTTTTTAGTAGATAAATATCATTTTTTTATTTGATTTATATATAATATGGCATATATTATAAAAGAAACAACATTTCTTAGATATAAAAGTATATAATAAGTTAAATGCTAGCTTGTCTACTTTAACAATATATAATTAATATTGAAAAAATTTCAAAAGCGATATTAATATGTTAGATAAAGAAGTAACAGCTATGCCTATCTATTTGAAAGAATCTTGTGAAATCTTTTGATTTTTAAATATAGAATCAACATAACTAGAACTAAAATTGAGTCAAGTAAACTATAAAATCTATAAATAGAAAATTAATTATTTTTCCAAAAGAACTTCTGGACAAGCTCATTGTCTTATCTCTTTGGTTATTTGATTACTATAGAAAATAAAGTGTATATGATGTTATTTGTTATTATAGTTATTAATGAAGTGAACCAGTTTAAACCATATTAAGAAAATATTAAATATCTAAAAATATATTTTTCTAACAAATTTTTCTTATCAGCCATAAAAAACAAACTTATTAAAAAATTCAAAGTTTTACCAATGCAATGGTTTTTTAAAAAGGATGAAATGATTTAATAATAAGACAAGCCTTCCACTGGATAATACCAATACAAGTCAACTATATCATTAATACAATTATTTCTTTTAATAAAGAAATTAATCTTTTTTAAATCAGAATAAACAAAGCAATCAAAGCAAAACAGATATTAAATATATTATCTTTAACAAAATTCTTTACTCTTAAGTTTATTTAAACATTATCAACTCCAAAATCATTATAACCTTATAGCCATTAAATCCTAACTATTAAAATTATCAATTCAAAAATCTTCTTCTATACTATAAAAAAACCTACCTATAGCAAGCTTTTCATATGATTTGGTGTTTTTCAATCTATTTCCCTTATTATTTCTCTAACTTATGGCTAATAATAGTAGCCTTGTTAGTTAAAAGATACAATATTAGAATCTGCCCATTTCCATATCCATTTAACCTTATTAATCATGAAAGTTCCATTAGTCTTATAAAAAAAATTAACAAATTAACTGTTTTATTGCTTTTTCATTCTAATATAAAAACTGCTTACAACATCTATATATTTAACAAAAATATAAAGCTCTCCTGAAAGGAAATTTATATTCATAAAGAATTTATAACATCCAGTTCAATTTCCTTATAGTTTTTATCTATTTCAAGCTTTTTTAACTTTATCACTAGTAATACAATCTTCTTGATTAATTTCAAGAAAATCCAATTCTAAGCCTACCTAAAAAACAATTCAATAAACTTTATCAAAGTTAGAAGTAATGCAATTTTTGCAACTCTCATTAAAGAAAAAAATTATCAATTAATAGACAAAGAAATATATTCTTGCCATTGTCCTATCCAATCATATTTTAAGGGAAAAAATATAATTTTTCTCAAATCAATTTGGTTCATCCTTTGTCTTAATATCAGTCTTATTAAATAACACTACAGAATTATCGAAATTCTTATCACTGTATCCTTTCTAACTTTACAAATCATAATTTCTTCATCTTCCTTCAATAATAATTCATCTATACTAAATGTGTACTGTACATATAAAAAGGTGAACAATTTGGGACATCATTTTCTGATTAAATAGAGGTCATGCATAATTTTAAGATGAAAGGAAAAATCGCCTGATGATATATGAAAGTATTTCTGGCAACAAAACACCAAGGTTTTCTTGCAAGGTTAATACGAATGAGGCGATGATTGGCTCACATGTGAATTATGCATTCTTATAGAACTTGTTCAAATCATTTTCTAATTCTGACGTTCATTGACATTTGACGAGTTGAATTTATTCCATCAAAGGAAATGTCCTCCATATCTCTTTCTAGAAAGTGCATATCTCGGGTGAACAGTTCAAGAATTTCTGGCCTTTCCTTTGTCTTACCACATCTTCCCTCAGTAACTTTGTCCCAGAAACGTGAAAGTTTTTGCAAATAAAAAAAATGTTTCGTTTTGTTCCATCCAAAAAGGTTTCGAATGTGAAAAAACTTTTGTTTTATTTATTTCAAAAAAATGCATTTTTCAATAATTTATAATACATATCCTGTGTGTCGATTCATTTCCGGATTACCATTTAATTAATTGCGCTATACTACATTGAACCATATTTAATGATTATAAAATTCTTTAAAAAATTTTTATATCATTACCTTTTACATTATTGTAAGAAAAAAAACAATAGGTTTATTTAAAAAAAATGTAAAAATTCGATTAATCATGATAAAAATCATTTACTCTATATTAATTTAATTTTATGTCAGGTAAAATAACTGTGAATGAATATTATGATATATTAAATCATGGATATATATTGTAATATAATTATTTTTATTTTAAATTTTAATCTGTATTTTTAAATTAAATTATTTTAAAAAATTATTTTATAATTTACCATTATAAATATTAAAATAAATGACATATAAGTTAGCACATAATTAGATTGAAATAGAAAATTACAATTTTTAGAATTAAAAATATTAACAATATAAACTTACTTAAATTTTATTTGAATAATAATAATGATGATGATGTTTAAATGTTTATTATTTACTGTACAAGTTGTGACATACGTAAGTCAAAAGTCCTATCTTGTATCGTGTAACGTATGCAATATATATATATACAGCAACGCATACCGATGAGTTTACAGAGATCAAATACAATATGTCACTTTGCCCCGAATGTAATAAAAATTTTACAGGAGATGAATGGTGCAAGTCATGTAATGGAATTCACTTTCAACAAGATTTTGATAAATGGACAAGTGGAGATAAAAAAATTGACGAATTTATACAAAAGTTTCAGCTTCAAGCTGTGTGGAGTAATAATGTATTAGAATGGATACCGTATACACAATTTCAAGATGTAAAATATATCGCTAAAGGAGGATATGGCACAGTGTATTCTGCGACATGGGAAGATGGTAAAATTGAAAAATGGGATGTTCACAATAAGAAATGGATTAGGACTCCTGTTTATCCTGATGGGAAAGTAGCATCAAAAAGCTTAGATAAGCTTAGCTCAGTTGACGGTCTTATAAATGAGGTAAAGAATATCAAACCTCGTTTAACTATAGTTTTATTATTAATCTAATTTATTTGATATTTTAGATTGAGAAACATTCCATTCTGTGGTGGACTTTCTCTTCTTTTGTTAGATGCTATGGGATTACGCAACAACCAGAGTCATTATGTTACATGATGGTTTTTAATTTTCAAGAAAATGGAAGTCTCAGGAATTACATTGACCTAAATTTTTACACGATGGATTTGAAATTAAAATTAAATTCATTGTATAATATTGCACAAGGTTTAAATAATATGCACTCTATGAAATTAGTTCATAGAGACTTTCATCCTGGAAATCTTTTATACAATCATCGTTTAGATCTTAATGTCTCAGATCTAGGTCTTTGTAAATTTTTTGATAATACTCAAGAAAGCAAAATTCGCCAAGAAATTTATGGAGTTCTTCCATACATTGCACCCGAAGTCTTGTGTGGTCATGCTTACACACCGGCAGCAGATATTTATTCATTTGGAATGGTAGCATATGAAATGATCACAGGATTTCCTCCATACTATAATATTCCTCATGATCAAGATCTTGCTGTACAAATCTGTCAAGGCTTACGTCCAAAAATTCCATTCAAGACGAACAAATTTTTAGTTAGATTAATAATGCAATGTTGGGATGCGAGGTCGTCTTGTCGACCTAGTGCTGGAGAAATATGCAGCACTATACATAAATATGAAAAATTGATCGAAAGTGATGAACCTTCGGATTTTAAGGAACAAGTTAAAGATTACGAAATTGAAGTTTCGAAAGAATCACCAACTAGTAAATCCTCGGGACTTAATTATAAAACACACCCAAATGCTATCTATACTAGCAGACTTTTGAACTTTGCAAATTTATCACAACCAAAAAACGCCCCGGATTATGAGAAAGAACTTGAAATGTTGTCGGATGACTATACAGGTAATATGCTATAGATAGTATAACGTTCTTTACATTTCTATTTTATTTTATTTTATTAATAATTTCAATTTTAATACCCTATTTAGCAGATACGAGTTTACACAAACTTAAATTATCATAATTTTTTAGGTACACTGACTCAAAAAATTGTTCCAATAATTAAAACCTTTTTATTTATAGTGCATATTTGAACTATTGGTTTAAAAAAGTAATAAATTTAACTATAGATGCATATTTATTTAACCTTTTAAATAGTATAGAATTAATTTAAGTTATTATAATCTGTGTTAGAAAATAGTTAAAGTTGCTAAATACGTTGATACAATTTTTGATTAATTATTAAATATTTTACTATAAATTGCACTATAATAAATATTTTTTAGAAATATATATAAAGAACATTAATTTATTGTTTTTTATTGCTTATACGTTATTTTTTAAATAATAAACTATCTTTCTAAACAAAAATGTAATAATATTATTTCTTTGATTTAGCATAGCTTATCTATAAGAGAATCATTACCCAACTTGGTATTGGTTATATTACTGTATCAAGAATTCATCAAAATATATTTACTGATTTATTAAAACCTCTAGCTAGTTATTTATCCTTTTTAAATCAACACAAGAATATTATATTATACATTTAATATGTTCAGAGCAAGAAGATATAGCTATAGATATTCAAAAATACCTTAAAACAAATATAATATTAATGTTACAACATAGACAGTTTATAATATATTTTAATAAAATTAATTATCAAAAAAAAAAATCTTTTTTTTATATTAAACTTTGCAAAAAAATATAAAGATTATTGAAAATTGAAGAAAAAATATTTTTTCAGAGGAAACAAAAATCAATTATTTTGAATCTAATAATTAAAAATAAAATAAATAAAAACAAATTTATTACTTTAAAACAATCATATAATACTAATTATAAAATATAGTAAAAATCATTGATAATTTGAAATTAATAATTTGAAAATATATAACAGCAAAAGAAATAAAAAACTTGATTTATATAACAATTACTATAAATGTTGAATATAATAAAATTGTCTATTCTGTACTTCTATAATAATCAAATAATCCCAAAATACATGTTATTAATCTAAAATATCAAGACATATTATTTATTAATTAATTTCTTATTTGTTAATATTTAAATAACAGAATTAATATATTTAACATATTATATATTTTATTAATATTATTATTTACTATTGTTATTTATATATCTATTATTATTATTTTTTTTTAAGGTAAATATGCATCAATGTAAATCTTTATTGATACATAATATCTAGATATAATATCAAATGTCTTCTACATATGGAATAATCAATTTGAAATACATACTATATCTTTTATATATAGAATTAACACTGCCTATTGACTATTTCTAGTAATAGCTTATATATCCACCATTAATCCAATTATATCAACTTATACCTTGGGGGTAGGTCCACATGTCAGTGGGATTAATTTAGGGAATGAAAATCCTGTTATCAATTTAAACTATCTAAACCTGTTAATTCAATGGAACGAAGAGCTGGTATACTTTACAAGAATGATTAGAATACTTGGATATCCCAAATACTTTTTACCTAATTCCTTGGAGAAGGTATTATATTTTTTGTTACTACCTGCGGCTTCAGATTTCCTTTTTGGAGTCCTCTTCTTTTAAGCAAGTGCTGAATTGGAATAGCCCCAGGCTAGAATATTCTTTTGTGCTATAGTGTCTGTCATGTCAAGAGGGTTGTGGACTTTTATCAAAATTAAACCAGAAACCTTTTCTTGTGTAACCTTTTTTGTTTCAACATGTTTTCAGCCCGTGATCATCAGAAAGACCAAGGGTCCCATTTTTATGCAGCCTAACTAAATTTGGCTAGATTCGGATGTTTGGGTACGATATCTGTAAGAAAACAAGTAAACCTACAAATAAAGAATGATTTTTATATATTTGCTTCTTGTGGGTAAAGATGGGTTCCTAAATTATTTGTAAGGACATAATTCAAATGTCCCTTATTATTAAAATTTTTCATTTCTATATTAAGAAATAAAAAAAAACTACCTACAAAGATTCTTTATAGTTTTAAGCATCTATACAAATCATTTCTGGAATTATGTCCCTATTGAAATAAAGAGCTAGGAATTATGTTCTTTAGGGGATGTAAATGTAAAGAAACGTAAATTTTATATGCTAAATACTTTAGGGACCTATCTTTACTTATGTGTATTGAACTAGGGACATGCTTTTGAAAACCTGGGAGCACACCTACTGTGCTATGAATCCACAGGTCTTTTATATATCTATTATTTTATTATTATTATTTATATTTTGTATATAATTAATATTTTAATAAAATATTTATAATATTGTACAAATTATATTTATGTAATATTATATTATATATTTTTATTATATTTTATTTTTTTTATTGAAAAAACATACATTTAAAAATTTTATTTTTATTTTAATAAAGTTTTCAATTAAATTTTTTTTTTTTTTTTTTTTTTTATCGTAAAAGGGCATTAGATGCAAAACTTTATTAATGTATATGAATGATACACAGATTACATCAAACATCTCTACAAATTATACTATGTAAGTTAATGTTAACCTATCTATGATGCGAACTATCACTATCCTAATTATACTTAATATAATTCAGATGAGCTCTAGTGCTGGATGGTTAATGCCCTTCCAGAGTTAATACAAATTCGTGATTGTTAAGTAAACTATACGATTTCGGGGACTGCGAGCTTGTGAAGGTAATAATATTTTGGAGGAGATTTGTGTCAAGCATGGGAGGTGGTGCTGGTTTCCCTATTTTATTGTAAGAAGTACTAGTGTTAGATTTTGTCCATTTAATGCCCGAGGCTATCGAAGTGTTGGCTGTTGCCGATCTTGGGATCCATATCATGGTATATAGGAGCTTTAATATGACATTTATTATTTTGGCATGTTTGTTACTTGAGGATTGGATTCCTAGGACTGTTATACCGCATGCTAATTTGTCAAGATTCGATTTGTTATTGAAGCTAAAATTTGTAACTCGTGATACTATGCTTGGTGAGGCTTTGG